GCTCTTCGCCAACTTCTCAGTCTTCCGCCAGGTGCTACTGACTTCCCTGTGGCAGGTACTACTCCTCCGTTACTGTTTCCACTAGCAGACCAGTCACAGCCGCAGCTTCTACCGCACTCCCCACTGCCTGCTCCTGCTCCCTACACTGCGGTGACACAGTCCCTGACTGAGCGTCGAGAGCCTGAGACTCGTGCTTCCACCCCTGAGCGTCGAGAGCCTGAGTCCAGCTTTGACCTTGAGCCCGAGCCTAGAGCTGCTGTCCGTGCTCGTGTTCCTCGTGTTCGTCGTCAGCGTGCTCTGGCTGTCCCGGGCACTCACGATATGACACTCCGTCCTTCCTCTGTTCCACAGCGTGTTGTCCTACCGTTACCTCCTGCGTCCTCTCTTCCTAACGTTGCTGACCCTCCGTCTGACCTTGCTCGTGCGTCCAGTCCGACTGTTACTCGCTTTCTTGCTACGGTGGTGACTGACCCTTCGTTCTCGTCTCCTGCTGCGTCTGCCTTAGTCGCTGAGCTCGTTGACTTTGCTGCTGTGTACCGCCTAGACTACCTTGCGAGTCTTGTTTCTGACCCTGTCCCTGCCTGTCCTCCATCCGTCGGGGGTGAGACCGCCCTTGGCTGTACTGCCCTTGGCTGTGACGTTCTTGAGGACAGACAGGAGGAGCTGGAGTGCCTTGCGGCCGCTGCACCCCATCTCGCAACCATGCTGCTTGCCCCTGAGGGAGACCCGGATGCACTTGACATCCCCACCCCGCGCTCTTACAGAGAGGCGATTTTGGTGAGTACTCCTCTCAGTGGCAGACAGCCATGGACGCAGAGATGGCTTCCTGGAAGTCCACAGGCACCTACGTCGACGAGGTTCCCCCACCTGGGGCGAACATCGTTAGTGGCATGTGGATTTTCAGGGTGAAGCGGCCGCCGGGTTCTCCGCCTGCCTTCAAGGCACGGTATGTTGCTCGAGGTTTTAGTCAGCGTGCGGGGGTCGACTTCTTTCAGACCTTCTCCCCCACCCCGAAGATGACCACTCTTCGGGTGTTGCTACATGTTACAGCTCAGCGTGACTACGAGCTGCACTCCCTCGACTTCTCGACAGCTTTCTTGCAGGGTAGCCTTCACGAGGCTATCTGGTTGCGCCGTCCAAAGGGCTTCACTGGGTCGTTTCCTGAGGGTACCCAGTGGAGCCTACGGCGACCAGTGTACGGCCTGCGTCAGGCGCCCCGCGAGTGGCACGAAACACTGAGGACGGCACTTGCGGCTCTTGGGTAAAACCTCCTTCGACTGCTGACCCGTCGCTGTTTCTACGCACCGACACTACCCTGCCGCCGTTCTACGTTCTCGTGTACGTCGACGACTTGGTTTTTGTTACTGCTGACACAGAGGCAATGGCCCTAGTGAAGGCGGAGCTGCAGGAGAGACACACCTGCACTGACCTGGGTGAGCTACGGAGCTATCTTGGCTTGCAGATCACCCGGTACAGAGCACGGCGCACCATCACCCTCACTCAATCACACATGGTGCACCAGGTCCTTCAGCGCTTCGGCTTCACGTGGTCCTCGCCACAGCCCACTCCTCTGTCTACCGGCCACTCGCTCTCAGCTCCACCTTCGGACGAGTCCGTAGAGCCGAGTGGTCCGTACCCAGAGCTTGTGGGTTGCCTCATGTACCTGATGACGTGCACACGACCTGACCTCGCGTACCCTCTCAGCCTCCTGGCTCGCTACGTGGCACCCGGTAGACACCGAAAGGTGCACTTTGATGTTGCGAAGAGGGTACTGCGTTACTTGTGCAGTACATCGGGCATGGGGCTCGTGCTTGGAGGACGGAGTTCAGTGGTACTCACTGGACACTCTGACGCTTCTTGGGCCGACGACTAGGCGACTCAGCGTTCGTCACAAGGTTACACCTTCAGTCTTGGCGCTGGTTCTGTCTCGTGGAGGTCCACTCGTTCTTCTTCTGTGCTTGGTTCCAGCTGTGAGGCCGAGATCTACGCTGGGGCCATGGCTGCATAGGAGCTACGCTGGCTGACCTACCTGCTGACCGACTTGGGGGAGCGGCCTCGTTCTCCTCCAGTTCTGTACGTCGACAACAATGCAATGCTTGCCTTGTGTCGCGAGCAGAGACTGGAGCACAGAACGAAGCACATTGCTCTTCGCTACTTCCTTGCGCGTGAGCTGCAGCAGCGTGGTCAGCTGAGCCTTGCTTACGTGGCCTCTCGGGCCAACACTGTTGATGTCTTCACCAAGGCCCTTGGGTCTGGTGATCATCAGTGGTTCTGCACTGCTCTTGGGCTTGTGCTCACTCTGCCTCACTTGCTGGTTGCTTGACTTGCTCTTGTTGTACACTGATATATATATATATATTTATACCTGCATGTTTACTTTTGCTAGGTTGTGATCAGTGTACTGCCTTGCTATTATAACGCTGCATGTGAACTGGCCTTGTGGCCGCTTGCATGTGCTCAGATTGTGTGGTGTCCTTGAGATCCACCTTGAGCTTTGCTTTGCTTTGTTCTCCTGCTTGACTGGTCTTGTGACCGTCTGTTGTGTTTGCTATCTCCCACTTAGCCTATGGGGGTGTGTCAAACTGTATGTTTGTGTTATCTCTAGGCTATAGTGGGTTAGCCTACAAGGGGTACAACACTCTAGGGTTAGGACTACTTGTACTGCCCTTCCTTCTCAATACAATCATTCCTGCCTGCTTATTCTAAAACTTCCAGATGGCAAATAAATTTGAGAGCATCAACCCTAAACTCCTTGCGACAAGGCGTTCAAGAAAGATAAAACTGTGTGTAAAAGCTTTCAAACTCAATACCGTAATTTCCTCTTTGTCATGATCATTTCGGCGGAAGTTTCATGTAGTTACCATTCGCGTGATCTCTCGCCTGTGTTGAGTTACCAAATGCGTGATGCGAGTTACCAAAGGCGTGAAAACACAGATATAAGGGCACATTCCGCTGTGGACACTGTCTCAAAGAAAGTGTCCCAATCGTATTTGTTACTAATTGTGACACAACTAAATCAATGTTCGTGACTAATTGTGATACGCCGAAAAGGATCGACCGAAATATGCAACCACTCATGTTACGACATCTGGCAAAGTCGTCACTGTTTATGGTTCGAAGTTTCACAATTAGTGACGAAGGGGTATCACGATTAGCAACGAACATTGTTTTCGGCGTATCACAATTAGTCACGAACATTCTGTGCGGAGTGTCACAATTAGTCACAAATACGATTGGGACACTTTCTTTGAGACAGTGTCCACAGCGGAATGTACCCTAAGTTACCATACGCGTTAAGCGAGTTACCAAACGTGTTAAGCGTGTTACCAAACGCGTTAAGCTAGTTACCAAACGCATTGAAATCGTTACCGTACGTGTTATAGTGCCCCATGTAAGTTACCATTGACATGTTTTCCCTACATTGTATATTTACTACTTGGCTTGGCACTGATCAGAAAAAAATGGTATGAATCAGACACAAAACACTGAAAATCAGATTGCATCGGCCACCAACCCTGAAAAAAAAAAGGGTAACTTGAAAAAAAAACAAGGCCTGGCCAGAGCCCCTTGGACTTGGAACTCAAGCATGGTAACTGTAGTCATCCTGTGCACTGTCCAATGGCCTTAGGCCAAGTCCCTGTGGCCTGTCCATACAGGGCATGAGGGGTGTATCTGGCTTTTCAGCCAGAAGCAGCTGCAGCTTCTGTGGATTCCCGTCCGGGCATCGGTCATTGGAGGGTGGGAAGTGCATGCACGGTTCGGAAACAGCGGGCGTGCATGTGTGCCCCACGAATGTGACGTGGGGCACTCCAAAGAGGGACGCACAGAGGTAGCCAAAAGTGGAAGTCTTGGAGATTATAAGTGCGTCGGAAAAGAGAGCGAGGGTGTAGATGTCGATGATGGCTCGGTCTACTGACGCCGTATTGGTGGTGTTCTCCTTGTCATCTGCAGTCAAGTGCACTATGTGCACGCCATACCCAGAACTGCCACTGCTGCTCTTGCTCCTGCTGCTACCAACGCCGCCGCTGCTGCTGCTGCTGCCAATGACACTACCAGTGCTGCTGCTTCTAGCGTCCACGCTTCCTAGGGGAGTTACAGTGACAGCAGGCGCAGCAGAATCAGCAGTGGAAGCGGGACTACTAGGTGGCGGCTCATTCTCAATGGGTGCACAAGCAGCGTCATTCCCCACTGTCACTCTCGCTACAGGCACATCGGCTGTTACTGCCTGTGAGAGGTTATGCACTAGAAATTGATTGAGCGACGCTACCATTACCTCAGTGACGTTACCCCATGACTCCCCCACGCTGCAGCCACCACCACTATCACTCCCGCTACCGCTACCGCCTCCACTCCTCCTGTCACCATCACTCATTGTTCTAGTTTTTGGGTCGAACTCACCACCCCGGAGCGCACCTTTCTCAGCCACACCTCCCACCCCTTGCCCAGCACTCCCACTAGTGCCCCGCCCTGCTGAGCCTCCTCCCTCTCCCTCTCGCATCTCCCGTCCCCTGTGCACGTCCCGTCCCTCTCGCATGTCCCGTCCCGTCTCCCGTCCTCCCTCAAAAGGACCCTGATTTGCCTGCAAAGCCGCCTCCCTGGCTAGCCGCATCCCCTTTGCTCTCTGCACAGTCGAGGAGTTGAGAGCTTGCAGCATGCAACGCCCCATAGCCACGGTGTAGAACGCTACTGTGCTCTCCTGTGCATGCGTTGAAAACCGCCCCTGCAGGCCCACACGAGCCGGCGCCGGGGCAAGGAGGGTGTGGTAGCGGTGGGTGATGCCCCCCCAGATGCGGTTGCGGGGGAAGAGCAGCAGGCGGGAGAGGGAGCGGAAGGGCATGTGGGCAGGGAAGAGGAGGGTGAGGAGGCGGCGGAAGGAGGGGAGGAGGTAGAGGGCGGGGAGGAAGTATTGGTTGGATGTGAGGAGTAATGTAGGCGTGTGGGAGAGCCACTGCTGCTCTGCCTCGCAGAAGGACAAGAAGCCAGATGGGGTGGTTCCTTGTTTAATGTCCAGGCGTAGCCTGAGGGAAAGGGTGAAAATGAGTAGGGGAAAAATCAGAAGGTGGGAGAGGAGGGTGGGAACACAAGGATTGAGGAAGCGGCAAGGTGAGAGCTTTGATACGCTTTGTAAAAGGTTACATATGAGTTGTGTCCATACATAGTAGAGCATAAGTAAAGGCCGTGCGTGCAAGGCATGTGTGAGAGCAGGCAACACAGTATGACAAGAAACGGTGGAACACATGCATGTGATGATCTGTGCCATGCGCACATGATGCAATGCGCTGCACTACGGTAGCATGGTTATGGTATGTCATGGTCAACAATGCCGCCAAAAAAAAAAAAAAAAAAAAAAAAAAAAAAACGGCACATCACGGCACAGAACAGAACGCACATTGGTGGCAGCTTGGCGCCTGATGGTGGCGTCCGTGCCTCCTCTCCCTCCCTCACGCTCCTCCACTCCTGCCGCAAAAATGTCAGCGCAATCTGGAAGGAGTGAGGGGAAGTGAGAAGGGGCAAAGGATGACCCTTAGTACCTGGTTTTTGAAGGGGTAACTTTAAATGTGGCTGCTCTGAAAGCGATCCAGGAAAAACTAGAGTTGACAGGCTTTAAAGAATGCCTTCATTGATATTACTGCTAGTACGAATCCTTTTGCAGCATTCAGATGGTTGAATTCTCGACCTTAGTTTCAATCTCAGAGCGCCAATGTTAAGCCCGGGTTGACTTTTGAGTTGACTCAGAAGTCAACTGGTTGAATTCTCGACCTTAGTTTCAATCTCAGAGCGCCAATGTTAAGCCCGGGTTGACTTTTGAGTTGACTCAGAAGTCAACTGGTTGAATTCTCGACCTTAGTTTCAATCTCAGAGCGCCAATGTTAAGCCCGGGTTGACTTTTGAGTTGACTCAGAAGTCAACTGGTTGAATTCTCGACCTTAGTTTCAATCTCAGAGCGCCAATGTTAAGCCCGGGTTGACTTTTGAGTTGACTCAGAAGTCAACTGGTTGAATTCTCGACCTTAGTTTCAATCTCACAACGCCAATGTTAAGCCCGGGTTGACTTTTGAGTTGACTCAGAAGTCAACTGGTTGAATTCTCGACCTTAGTTTCAATCTCACAACGCCAACGTTAAGCCCGGACGATTCAGCTTTTACCAGCGGCTGGTACTACTACCTCTGAGGCCGTGGGCTGAGGCTGTGCGGGATTGAGAGACGCTGATGCTGCCTGTGCAAGCTAGCGAGGAAGCACAACAAACACCCCTGGTTGAGCCTGGACCAGCTTTCGGCAGCGGATGGTACCTTTGAGGCCGTGGGCTGAGGCTGTGCGGGCTTGGTAGGCGGTGATGCTGCCTGTGCAAGCCAGCGAGAGCAGCAGCTTCAAGAGCACGCGACAGTGGTGGAAAGAGAGTGGTACCTACCTTTGAGGCCGTGGGCTGAGACTGTGCGGGCTTGGTAGACGCTGATGGTGCCTGTGCAAGCTAGCCAGAGTAGCAGCTTCAACAGCACGCGACAGTGGTAGAGAGAGAGAGTGGTACCTTTGAGGCCGTGGGCTGAGACTGTGCGGGCTTTGTAGACGGTGATGATGCCTGTGCAAGCCAGCCAGAATAGCAGCTTCAAGAGCACGCGGCTGTGGTGGAGAGACTCGCGCATCCGACGAGAGGGACGACGAGAGGGACGATGAGGAGAGACGATTCTGACAGGGGACACGAAGAGGGGGATTTGGAGATTGATTAGAGGTGGAGAAGGAGAGCTTGCAGATTCTGTTCAAATGGGAGTGGTGGAAGGAGGGGGGGAATGCAGGGGGTGATTGGTTCTCGTCTTGGTGCAAGTGGAAGTTGGGACAAACGGGCCGGTGGGAGGGTACTATTCTCGAATGAGCGGAAAGATCGGAAAGAGCAGTGCTACGAATGATCTATGTGAAGCGAAAGCTGGATCCTCCGCCTCGAAAAGGACTTGACATGCCACATGTTATGTTAGGACGTTCGGTCGAGCAGTGCTCGTTGGCACAGCGTGAGAATGCATGAAAGCACTGATGTGAGTGTAACAACCAGCAGTGCAGTGCCTGCTGCCTCGCGTATCTACAGATGAGGGAGCTGGCGGTCAGGTTCGGGACCGTGAAATTTTGACCACGGTGGTACCTTTTAAGGGAGATAACTTGAAGGCTCTCGCACAGATCCAGCAGGGAAACTTCCAGCGGAGAGCCGAGCGCCGGAGAGAACACCTTCGCCGCTTCTTCCTGCCCAGCCTCGTGCATTTCCAGTGAGTTAAACACGCAGCGACGGCGCTGTCGCGTCGCATTTGTACCCGCGGAGCCGGTTTTCCCGCCGCCACCCATCCCCGGCGCCCCTCCGCGCGCTCCCCATCCCCCACCCATCACAATCACCAAACTGACGTACTAAACAGGCGTGAACAAATGGACGGTGTTCAAATCCTCGGAGCCTGCTTTTGAGTCGACTCAAAAGCAAACCACCAAACTGACGTACTAAATTGGCGGGAACAAATAGACAATTTCCAGATCCTCTGAGGTGAGGTCCCACGGGACATCACTCATGGGGAAGAGCAGCAAGGTGGAAATCCTTTCAGCAGTAGGATCAAAAACCGACGTACTAAACAGGCGTGAACAATGGACGGTTTCCAAATCCTCGGAGCCAACTAGCCGACTTTTTTTTTCGATTTAGTACGACTCTTGTACTAAATAGGCGTGAACGGATGGATGCTTTCCACTTCCTCGGAACCAACAACTAGCTACTACCTCTCGTAGTAAGACTGCCGCAGTCCATGAACTGGATATGAGGTCCTACTAGCTATCTGGAGATTGGCCATCATGTTTGGAGCTCCTCCCTTGGAACTCTGGAATGTTAGTGGCTGAGCTCGAAATTTGGAGGCTTGCTGCTTTTCGCCGTGTGACCGTCGATTCTGGCAGATCGTGTGATACTGCGCCAGATGTCGACTCAACAGAGCCATGCGATGGCCCGGCGACTCACAGAATGAAGGCTCGCCACGTGGCGTCACGATATCAAATTGTGCAAGGAGCCGGCAATCGGGTGGTTCGCCGCAGCAGCTGGATCGGTTCACCACCAAGTGTTCAGAATCCAATCGTTTATGGTCTACGAGTACAGGGTTCTGTGCTACCACCACCGTCGGATGAGCCATAGCGGCAAAGAGTGGACTATCAAGCCGGCAGAGTGGAAACGGACCACGCGTGCGGGAGACTCGTCACGGACACTCGTCCTCTAGCGAATCAGGAGAGAAACACAATGCACCCTGCGACGACGGGCCTATGATCATCATGTATGAAGGGCCTACGAGATTGCCTATCGCATACGCAAATCAAGCAGTTGCATTCTCAGCCATGGCCACCGTGTGAAGTTGGGAGGGACACCTAGGTGATCTGATTCGACTTGGTGAACTCAGGTGTGTCAGCTCATCCTGCTGGTACGTCCTACGTGATCAAGTAAAACGTAGAATCTACGAAACCCACCAGGTCAGGTTCTAGTAGGAAGGAGGCGAACAATATAAATGAAATTCGCGATGGATCGCGAAGTTTTCGAAAGGGTTGCGACAAATGTACAGTTGACGGCGGTACTGCTGAAGAAGTCGAAAACAGTCGAACGGGCGTGTACTGTTATTCGGTACATGTACGAATATGCATCTTGTATAAACGTTTTTAGGCAATTGTTTCATTTTAAGATTCGCAAGTTGCTGAGAATTTGCAAGCGGATTTCAAATAGATTCTCTGCCAGCACGTTTTCCGACCATAGCACATCACTGCTCACGTTGTCGAGCAGTAGGGCAGCATGCATGCAATTGGCGAACACGCGTTGAGCTGCTAAATGCAGTTTTTGATGTGGTCGTTGACAAGGGCGTCGGGAGAGGGAATGGGGAGGGACAGTTGGCTGCGGGCTTGATTTTACCAAACAAGTCAGCATTCGAATCCTGGAAAAAAATGGATATCAGAGATTGCACTTCAAGCAATGATACGTTTTGGGCACGAAACACATTTTTCGTGGATGTACCCTTTGGTCACACCCATAGCTTGGATACACTCTTGACTGAAATCCCGAAGCTTTAAACCCTAACCCTCCCTAAACCCTAAGTATCTACTGTACCGCCTTAAGTGGAGCAAAGATGCGGTTGAGAATACGAGCTAGGCGCACCCCACCCATGGCAATGCGCATCTCCACGATGGGCAGGCGCGAATTGAAATACTCATCTGTGGAGTTCAACGAAGAAGCCAATGGTGCAGTGTGGTGGTGTTGGGTGAAAGGCACGGAAAGGGAGGGAGAGGAATCAGGTAACAATGGTGGTGCAGATGGTTAAAATAGAACAATCGCTGTGAAAGAAAGAGTCATATTGATTTGAATGGCAGACGGATTAGGGAAATCACTCCGTTGGTATGCATGGCAAGAAATGTTGGAAAAAAACGCAACCTTTCTTCTTTGCAAGAATCAAGGAAAAAAAACAAGAATTCAATTGTAGTTATTGCTTGCCCCCAATGTCACCGCCTGACCTACAAGTATTATTCCTTAAGGCTCGACATTTTGCATGAAGAACAACGCACCTCCAAGCACGGCTCCAGGTGTCGCGTTGCGATAAGCCCACTTGCATGCATCCTTCGCACTCTCCATGGCATATCTGGTTGTGAGAGGTGGTGCGAATAGGTGCGAGGAGGTGCGATGAGATAGACAGCTGGGCAGCTGAACGGGTGGAGCGAGGGGTCAGAGGCCAGTATGCCAAGAGCAGAGGCACTTACACAGCTGGGCAGGCTGCAGCTTGAGCAGGAGAAAGGGTCGGTGCCGCTGCTGCAGCATCAGCATCACTAACAGCAGGAGAACGAGAAGAAATGTCTCCAGGGCAGGAGGCCCAGGCTGGAATGAGGCAGCAGCATGGCGCCAGTCCGAGGCGAGATTAAGAGGCACTTACACAGCTGGGCACGCAGCAGCTTGAGCAGGAGAAAGGGTCGGTGCTTCGTCAGCAGCAGCACCAGCATAAGTGTGATTATCCCCAGGGCAGGAGGCCCAGGCTGGGATGAGGGGGCGCCAGTCCGAGGCGAGTTGGTGGGCGATGTGATGCAGCATGGAGGTGCTGCTGCCGTTGTAGCGCAGGTGGATGGCCGAGGCTATGATAAAGCTGTCCCACACCTGATGCAGAGCGGTGGAGAAGGGTGGAGAGGGATGGAAACGGGTTCCTCAAGAATGAGCGGGCGCCAGTCCGAGGCGAGTTGGTGAGCGATGTGATGCAGCATGGCGGTGCTGCTGCCGTTGTAGCGCCAGTGGATGGCCAAGGCTATGATGTCACTGTCCCACACCTGGAGGGATGTGAGGGAGTTTGGGAGGCGTGGAGAGGGGTTGGGAGGGGTGGGAGGGTGAAGGGACCAGGGCATGAGGGTTGGTGGGCGATGTGATGCAGCATGGCGGTGTGACTGCCATTGTAGTGCAGATGGAAGGCCGAGGCTATGATGTAGCTGTCCCACCACACTTGATGCAGAGGGGTAGAGCACGGTGGAGAAGGGTGAAGAGGAGTTGAGAGGGTGAAGAGGAGGGCACGGATGGTGTGATGCAGCATGGCAGTGCAGCTGCCGTTGTCATGGCATGGCATGGCATGGCATGGACGGCGGACATATCACATGGCATGGCATGGCATGGACGGCGGACATATCACATGGCATGGCATGGCACATACCGCATGCAGGTTGGTCTTCCTCTTGAACCATGTCACATGCACCCTGTTGCCGCCCAGATCAGATGTGAAGCCCACATGAAGCGGCTGCACCAGGGGGGTATGGGACAGATGGGTAGAGGCATGGGAGGGGGGGAGGGAGAGGGAGAGGATCGGGGGACCATGTCACATGCACCCTGTTGCCGCCCAGATCAGATGTGAACCCCACGTGCAGCGGCTGCACCAGGGGGATGTGGGGCAGACGAATGGAGGCCGGGGGGAAAGACGCCCAGCAACACGTTACTGAGACTTATAGGGGAATAGGAGGACAGGAGCAGGGAAATGGAGGGGCCAAACATGCACCCTGTTGCCGCCCAGATCAAATGTGAACCCCACGTGCAGCAGCTGCACCAGGGGGATGTGGGGGGAGCGGAACAGAGGGCATAGAGGGCGGAATGAATTTGGGGGGGCCAGCCAGACATGCACCCTGCTGTTGTTGCCCACCCAAATCAGAGTACATCCCACGTGCAGCGGCTGAGGCAGCGTCGGTCGAACTGAGCTTGCAGCTTTCTATCCGTTTCCTTCGTTTGAGACCACCCAAATCAGAGTAAGTCCCACGTGCAGCGGCTGAGGCAGCGGGATGTGGCGCATATGGATGGAGGCAACAACGGGCGACTGGAATAAGAATAGAGGGATTCCCTTCATAGAGGGCCCAGACTTGGTTCATAGAGGTCAAATATGTTACCACGGATCAGAACTACAGATATGTTACCGCCATGATCGGTAGTTCTGTTCACGAGGCACTCAAATATGTAACCAACATCAGCTTGTGCGCATCATCTTGTGAACAGAACTACCGATAATAGCTCACCTGGTGGATATCCCCTGCAAAGTGCGCCAGGAACATGAGCGCCTCCGTCAGGTTGTAGCCTCTGATGGACCTAACGGACCTCTGAGAGGTACTTATGTTCCTGGCGCACGAATGAGTAAGGGGAAAGAGCAACGTTTTGTTTGAGGTTGGTTTTGAGAATTCTCAAAATCAACCTCAAACAAAATGGACCTAACGGACCTCTGAGAGGTACTCATGAGGGGCACGAATGAGTAAGGGGAAAGAGCAACGAGCACCTTACTCTTTGCTCGTTGCTCTTTCCCCTTTGCATATGTGTGCACCACCACCAACCTCACCTGGTGAACGTCCCCTGTCCTCCTCACCTGGTGCACGTCCCCTGCAAAGTGCGCCAGGAACATGAGTGCCTCTGTCAAGTTGTAACGTTTGATAGACCCGGCATCTAGTGCTGCTTGCTGCTCACTGGCAGGGGGACCAGCAGCAGCAACAGCAACACCAGCAGCCGCATCAGCAGTAGAAAAAACCGAGGCATGAGCAGCACCCTTCGCACCGACTCGTATCACCCGCTTTACCACTCTCACCATCTCCTCTTCCCCTTCTCCCTTTTCCCCTCCTCCCTCTTCCCCTTCTCCCTCCTCCCCCTCTCTCTCCGCGTCACCCCTCCCTAGCACAGCAGCCTCTGCCTCATCCACCCCCCTGAAGAGGAGACTCCGGTGGTGAGGGGAGGTGGGGAGACCGGCAGGCTTGAGTGGAGTAGCCACTTGGGGGGAGGATGGGGGGAAGGAGCGGCGGGAGTGGGAATTGGGCTGGGAGGAGGAATGGGGGGAGTAGGTGAGGAGCTGGGACGTGTAGTTGATGATGGCGTTTGCCACGCACACACCGGGGTGATGGGCGAAGGCGCAATCGCCTGGGAAGGTGGCAGCAAAAGTGGGTGAGGGAGACAAGGGATGGGCGAGTAGGTGAGGAGCTGGGACGTGTAGTTGATGACAGCGTTGGCAACGCACACACCGGGGTGATGGGCGAAGGCGCAATCGCCTGGTGGAAACAAGGAGGAGAAGGAGGGGGGAGATAGATAGATGAAAGAGTAGGAGAGGAGATATACTGGTGTTTACTTTTGAGAATTCTAAAAAGGTCCTGGGACGTGTAGTTGCTGATAGCGTTGGCAATGCACGCCCCGGGGAGATGGGCAAAGATGCTATCGCCTGGAGGGGAGGGGAGAGTGGAGGGAGAGAGCGGGATGGAGAGGTAGGTGATGCGAGAGGAGGTGATGCGAGAGGAGGTGATGCGAGAGGAGGTGATGCGAGAGGAGGTGATGCGAGAGGAGGTGGAATGTTTGGTTCATTATGACGTTGGCAACGCAATCACCTGGAAAAGTCACGGAAAATGGGAGGAGGGGGGAGGGGAGGGGAGAAGCGAAAAGAGAGGAAGATATGGCACTGTAACAGCGGAGGACGCGACCTTAGGGTGTGTTATCCCCAATCACCCACCTCAGTGTGTTCATCGTACGAGCATGCGAAGTCAGGGGTATCAATGAAGTGCGGCGGCGAGGGCGAAGCACACCCTTTGGTGTGTCCAAGGCGTCAGCCCACTCGCGAGCACACAGCAGGGAGAGAAAGAGAGAGCAGCCTCTGGGAGGAGCCCACAACAGGAGGGAGAAACCCTGACTAACCAACTCACGGTGTTCATCGTATGAACATGCGAAGTCAGGGGTATCAATGTAGTGCAGAGGCGCGGACCAGGCACACCCTTTGGTGGCGAGGGCCAGGCACACCCTTTGGTGTGCCCAATGGCGTGAGCCCACTCACGATGAGCGGCGCACAGCAGGGAGAGAAAGAGAGAGCAACCTCAGGGAGGGGCACGCAACAGGAGAGTTTTGAGACGTCTCAGAGCCCGCAACAGGGGGGAGAAACCCTGACTAACCAACTCACGGCGTTCGTCGTACGAGCATGCAAAGTCAGGGGTATCAATGTAGTGCAGAGGCATTGACCACCGCCACCCCTTGGTGTGCCCAATGGCTTCCTTGGATACCATACCGTACCGCACTCTACCACACCATACCCAGTCAGGGCAGCTCACGGCGTTCATCGTATGAGCAGGCGAAGTCAGGGGTATCAATGTAATGCAGAGGCATTGACCACCGCCACCCCTTGGTGTGCCCAACCACATCAGCCCATGAGCACACAGCCGGGAGGCTGCCCCTGGCCATGGGTGGGAGCAGCGCCGCCACTGCTGCCGCTGCCTCATCGGTAAGTAGAGCCTGGATAGGCGAGGAAGGGGGATTGGAAATGAGACATACATGGCAAGGACGAGGCATAAGCAATCAGCCCACGAGCACACGGCAGGGAGCACACGGCGAGATGGGTGGGAGCAGCGCCGCCACTGCTGCTGCTGCGTCGTCGGTAAAAAGAGCCTGGATAGGGAGGGGGAATAGGGGCCGGGAAATATGGGTTTACAGAGACATGATTTTCCCACGAGCATGCGGCAGGGAGGCTGCTCCTGGCCATGGTGGAAGCAGCGCTAATGGCCACAGCAGGCACTGGGCCTCGCATTCCTGTTGCTTTTGAAAATTCTGAAAAACGGAAACAAGGAAATTGTTACAGGTCAACGAGCCACGCATTCCTGTTACAGACACGCCCGGGCCACGCATTCGCGTAATACCGTGCCTTCCTTCCTCTAGTGCTTTTCTAAGCAAAAAAAAAAACACATTTATTTGCTCTCTAAGCAATTAAAGCTATCCACGGCACCTAGCTGCCTAAGGTGCATAAGAGAACATGCGAAACCCTACCTGAGCAATGGCGCAGGTGAAAGCGTGACCGTCGTGACCCCACGCGTCGCACCCGATGCGATCCGCGGGGAGCAAAGCGAGGAGCGACACGAACGTTACAAGCAAACGGCGGTGCGACGCGACGAGTGGAGCTGGCTGAGGCGCGCAACGAGCCATGGGAACGAAAAACGCCAGGAATTGATTCGAGGAAGACCTTACACGTTGGGAGATGTTATCTCGCTGCTTCAAGCTCACTAAGCGAGGATGAAGGCGACGAGGAAGAAAAGAATGAGAGACGGAAGAATGGAATTCCACATTCATGCGGCGGATAGAATGCACGAGCCTTGCATTTCTCCCTCCAGAAAGGGCTGCTTGGGAAACGTCAGGCCTGTGCTGGGCTTTCAAGGTTGGAGCTCAATTGCAGTTCTTTCTCCAAATAACGCACTCAAACTCTCTGAATCCCAGTCGAATGCACTTGATCGCACCGAGCCTAAGCGAACCGTAATATATTACGACTCTCGCCATGTTTGTTTGTCTGTGCTGTGTTCGCGAACACATTTTAGTCCATTTTGCCTATTCGTTATGCTCGAAAGTCGCCAAGGAAACGCTTGTACACAAACGTCACTCTGTTACGCGCCATTTGCTCGTGTCGTGACTGGTTGCCCATGCATTTACACGGCCATATGACTGGACCCGAGATCTTCGTGAGTTACAAGCACCCGTAACGCGGCTACATGGATAAATTACTCCTCGTAAAACTCAATTTAGCAGCACATATTTTTCTGTGCTTTGCCCCAAGCTTCAGCTATGCTGTACCTTCTCTCCTTGTACGGTACCGTATAACACAACCACTCATCAGATTTCTTTGTCACCCTCTCCTTAGAAAAACGCTACCCACCTAAGTTGGACCATCAAAATGCATTGCTTGCTGAATGAAAACAATGCAGCAATGGGAAATGGCTACACTAGCATGATGCCACCTTCATCCACCATTGTATCAACTACAGTAGCCAGCTTTCCTTCATACTTCTGCCCTTTCTTCAATCTAAACACCACTGCAAACACATCTACATCCATAGATCTCTCCGCAATCAGCCGCTCAATCACCCGACACGCATTCTCATCCACTAAAGACGGAAGCGACATCCTCGGGTCTTTCGCACTCGTCGTCGCCACCGAAACCACCCTGCTGGTTACCCTATGCATCACTTTCGCGCTCACATAACGCTTAGAAATGTACACGTCAAGAATAAACGGCTTTACGAACTTCTCGTGCCGTTCTTTCCAGGACTTCGCCTTGGGTTTGGCTGCCTTCCCGCCGTTGCCTCCTGCTGACTTGCCTCCTTTTCTAGTCCATCCAGCTGCCTCTGTTTTGGGGAGGATCGGCGGGTTCCTCTGGCTGGTGAGGGTGAGTGAGCTGTCCCACCCCTGCAATGGAAATGAGGAACAAGGGGAGCGAGGAGTGATGCAGGCAATCACTGGGGTGCGTTGAGATGAGGTGCACAGGGGGTCACAAGGGTGCAGAAGGGTGCGTAGGAAGGAGAGCTTCTCTGGATGGTGAGGGTGAGCGAGCTGTCTGTCAAAGCATATGCTTGTTATACATGTGTAGGCTGTAGTGGGGTAGCCAATATTTTAGGGTTTCATACTTGTACCCAACTCTGTGATAGTTCATTAATTCTTGCTGCTAGATTCTAACATGGTTTCAGAGCACTAGGTCCGTAGGACTGTTTTTTTTTTTTTCGGGCCCACCTACCGTTGCGGTTACCGCGTTACCCCACGTGTTGGCCTGCATGCCTGCCTTGCCTTGTGACGTGCTGCGCTGCGCGCGCCGTCCTGCAGCCCTCGTACTGCCTATTGCTGCCCTAGGCCAGAGCGCCGCCCCTACAGGCCCGTAAGGCCCACGCGCCGCGCCTGCAGACACGTCACGCCTGCGAGCCGCCCTTGCAGGCCCGTCAGGCCAGGGCGCCGCCCCGCCAGGTCGCTGCCCCGCGCGTCGCGCCCACATCCCGCGCGTCGCGCTGCAGCAGCGCGCGTCGCGTTCGCTGCCCGCGCGTCGCGCTGCAGCCCCGCGCGCCGCGGCTGCCGTCCTCGCGCAGCCCGCGGCGGCTTCGCGCGTCGCGCTGCAGCCCCGCGCGCCGCGGCTGCCGTCCTCGCGCAGCACGCGGCGGCTTCGCGCGCCGCGTCCGCGGCTCGCGTAGCGCGCTGCAGCCCCGCGCGCCGCGGCTGCCCCTGGCCGCCGCCGTCGCTCCTGCAGCAGCTGCCGCGGAGCGCCCTGCCACAGTAGCGGCCCCGCCGTGCAGCAGCTGCCGTGGAGCCTCCTGCCGCCGTCGCGGCCCTGCCCTGCAGCAGCTGCCGCGGAGCCTTCTACCGCCGTCACGTCCCCGCCCTGCAGCAGCTGTCGCGGACCTGCCCTACTTCCGATGCGGTCCTGCTCTGCCGCAGCGGTCGCGGCCCCGCCGTCGCCGCTGTCGTGCACCTGCCCTTCCCGCCACTGGTGAGCACCTGCCTACTTGCCTGCCTGCCTGCTTGCCACGCCTGCCTGCCTGCCTGCCTGCCGCGCCTTCCCTGCCCGCGCTACTACTACCGCTAGGCTGCTGCTGCTGCTGCTGCTGCTACTCCTACTACTGCTACTACTGGCGGTGGCCAGATGCAGCTCCAGCGACGTTCACGCGAGTCTCTCACGCCCCAGCAGCTTCGTGAGTGGTACGCTAGTTGGGGTTGTGGCGGTAGCCGTCGTGGCGGTCGCCCTGGAGCTGGTCGGTCGGGAGCGTCTAGCAGTGGCCAGCTGAAGCTGCAGCGGCGTCCGAGCGAGACACTTCCGTCCCGACAGCTTCACGAGTGGTACGCTCAGAGTCGAGGGTCTCGGAGTACCGTTCGCTGCCCGTACGTCCTTCGCACAGGTGATCGGGCTGGTCAGGCTTGCGGGACACTTGGTCACACCCAGTCCCGCTGCTTCGCCCGTCTGAGCGACGCCTGGCGTACCGAGTTTGGCGACGAGGCTGAGCTCCCCACCTGGCTGGAGCTGCTTGGGCAGAGGGTAGATATCTTTGCTCTTGACTATGATGCTATTCTCACTGCTATGTATGCATTGCCTACTAGTGATGACCGTGCCTGTTCCCTGTGCGTACCGCCTGACCCAGGTATAGAGCCTGCTGCCCTAGGTGCTGGTGAGGCTGCTGCTCTAGGTGCTAGTGCGTCTCCTGCACTAGGTGCTGGTGCGGCTTCTGCTCTAGATGCTGGTGCGTCTCCTGCGCTAGGTGCTGGTGAGGCTGCTGCTCCAGGTACTGGTGAGTCTGCTCTCTCTGGTACTGCGCCTGCTGTGTCAAACATTATATATGTTGTGTTAGTTTAGGCTACAGTGGGTTAGCCTATAGGGGGTACACAATTCTAGGGTTAGGTACTTGTACTCTTTTCATTGCTAGTTCATTCATTCCTGTTCAGTGATTCCAACATGGTATAGAGCAGGTCCTTCCTAGGACCTAAATTTTCTAAGGGCCCACCACTACGTAACTACCTACCTACCTACCTACCCGTGCCCTAGGGCGCCTCGGCGTGTCACGCCCCTAGAGGCCCCTCTTGACGGCCCCGCGCTAGCCCCGTTCAGGCCCCGTCGGCCCCTTTAAGGCCCCGTTCAGGCCCCGCGCTAGCCCCGTTTAGGCCCCGTCGGCCCCGTTTCAGGCCCCGTCGGCCCCGCGCTAGCCCCTCTCAGGCCCCGTCGGCCCGCGCTAGCCCCGTTTCAGGCCCCGTCGGCCCCTTTTCAGGCCCCGTCGGCCCCGCGCTAGCCCCTCTCAGGCCCCGTCGGCCCGCGCTAGCCCCGTTTCAGGCCCCGTAGGCCCCGCGCTAGCCCCTCTCAGGCCCCGTCGGCCTCGCGCTAGCCCCATTCAGGCCCCGATCGGGCCCGCGCTAGCCCCGTTTCAGGCCCCTTCGGCCCCGTTTCAGGCCCCGTCGGCCCCGCGCTAGCCCCGTTCAGGCCCCGTCGGCCCCTTGCTAGCCCCGTCAAGGCCCCGTTTGGCCCCGCGCTACCCCCGCTCAGGCCCCGATCGGCCCCGCGCTCGCCCCTCTAGGGCCCCAACCGGCCCCGTGCCGACCTCGCCGACCCGTGCCCACCACCCAGAGGCCCCGGGCGGCCCGTTCCCGCCGCAGCACACGAGGGAGAGCGGGCGGCCCGTCCCCGCCGTGACCCGAGCCGAGCCGCGCGCCCCGAGCCGAGCCGCGCCACCCAGCCGAGCCGCGACCCGACCTGAACCGAGCCGCGCCGCCCTGCCCTACCTGGTTCGTCCTACCTGCTTCTCCTACTGCTACTGCTGCTATTTCTACTGTTCCTATGGCTAGCCCACAGGTTCTCGTGTTCGATGCTGAGGGCCGCCCTGTGAAGTTTGACACCTGGCTCGATGACCTGCACCTCTACCTACAGCTCACAGCCAAGGATGACTTCTCACTGTACGATCAAGCCCTAGGCCATGTCACTGCCCCTGCTGCTACTGCTGACAGCACTGCTCGCTCACAGTGGCAGACTCGTGATGCCCACGCTCGCTTCGCCATTCGCAACTCCCTGCCGATAGACGAACGCGAGCACTTTGGTCAGCACAAGACTGCACAGGCACTGTACACAGCTGTAGTTGCTCGCTACTCCTCACCTGCCTCTGCCGCACTAGGCCGTCTCTCCCTCCCCTACCTGTTTCCCGACCTGGCCTCCTTTCACACAGTCGCTGACCTCATCACGCACCTCCGTACTAGTGAGGCCCGCTTCCGTGCCGCCATGCCTGCTGAGTTCCTTGCCACGCACCCCCCTCCACTCTGGCTCACTCTCTATCACCTAGTCACCCGCCTCCCTGACACACTGCGTGCTGTCAGGGACCACTTCCTAGCTCGTTGCCCCACTGAGCTCACCATTGCCCTCCTCGAGAAGGAGCTACTTGCAGCTGAGGCTAGCATAGTCGCTGTAGGTGCCTCTCGTGGCGACCCCCGTACCCCGTTCTTTGAGGGGTGTTCTCCTTCCCCCCTTCTTCCCTCTGTCGCCTCTGCTGCTGCTGTCGACCTTCTTGGTCCTGAGAAGGTCGGCGCTGCGTCTGCCTCGAGCGGACGCCGCAGCGGCAAGGGCAAAGGGGGCAAGGGTGGTGGCGGTGACGGCGGGGGAGGCGGCGGTGGGGGCGGTGGAGGCAGTGGGGGTGGTGGCT